AAAACATGGAAAAGGAAAAGAGTACAGATGGTATTACATGATGATTTAGCTATAATATTTCTTGAGCTTGTCAGCGTTCCATGCCCGTGGCATCGCCCTTCCATCCAGCGTTTCGAGGGAGTAAGCGCCTTATCCTAGTTTGTTGGTTATCCGGTAAGGTCCCTCCCAATTTGGGGCGAATTTACCTTCACGGGCATTCTTCTTTCCAACGTCTTCTCTTCGAAGCACCAAATCTTTTTCTTGAAAATGGCGGGGGATGACTTTCTTGTTGTAATAAGTAGCTGACTTTTCTTTTGACTGTTGATCGGACTGGGCGGCACATCCTCTGAGCTCGTCAAGCAAATCTAACGTTTCTTTCAGGTTTTGGGTGTTGGCTATCTCAGTCACGTGCTCTCGTCGCCAGGAAGGTTCACCGATCTCTACCGGGATCATGGCTTCAAAGCCGTAGGTTAGTCTGAACGGCATTTCTCTAGTGGATGACTGGGCGGTTGTCCTATATCCCCATAGGACGTTGTCTAGATTATCTATCCAGGCCCCTTTATGTGCTTCCAACTTCTTCTTAATTCCTTTACTCAGCATTTTGTTGGTTGATTCTACTAAGCCGTTGGATTGAGGGTGCTCAACTACGGCAAAGTGATGCTGGATCTGTAGGCTGTTCATTAGTTCACGGAATTTGGCGTCAGTGAATTGAGTGCCGTTGTCTGTAATGACTTCTCCCGGAATGCCAAAGCGGTAGACAATACTACGCCAAAAGAACCTTCTTGCTTTTTGGGATGTAATGGTGGCCAAGGGTTTTGCTTCTACCCATTTGGTGAAGTAATCTATGGCGACGATCAACCACTGAACTCGCCCAGCTGCCATTGGGAAAGGGCCTAGAATGTCAATTCCCCATTTATAGAAAGGCCATGGCGAGGTGATTGACGTCAATTCTTCAGGCGGAGCTTTGTGTATATCGGCGAACCTCTGGCATTGCTCACATTTTTTGACGTGTTCTCGTGCGTCGTGCTCCATAGTTGGCCAATAAAATCCCGCTCTTAATGACTTCTTTACTAGCGAGTGACCGCCCATATGGTGGCCGTTGATTCCTTCATGGATTTCTTCTAGCCCATACTGGACGTCCTCCGGATTCAAACACTTCAGGAGTGGGGTGGAGAGTCCTCGCTTGTACAACCGCCCTTGCACTATGCAGAAATGAGCACTTTTCGGAGAATTTTCCTGGCTTCTTTTTGGTCAGGAGGAACAATCCCTTCAGCTAAGTAGTTGATAATGGGCGCGATCCAGGTTCTTTCTGCTGCTTCGGGGGCCGGCGGTGAAATGCTCATGACTATGCACGGGTTTGGCATATTGTGCTGGATGACGGACCGGTTGTTGCCTGGGCTTTTGGTGCTGGCCAGTTTGGCGAGAATATCTGCCCGTGTATTTTCAGCACGCCTAATGTGCTCTACCTCGACACTTTCAAAACTCTGAATCAGTTCTTTGACTTTTTCTAGATATTTGCACATCAGAGGTCCTTTAGTCTGGTATTCCCCGGATATTTGAAACGTCACCAGCTGGGAGTCACTGAAGACTTTGAGGCGTCGGGCTCCCATCTCTCTTGCTTGGATTAGGCCAGCTATCATGGCCTCATATTCCGCTTGATTGTTTGTAGCATTGAACTCAAAAGACAATGAATGTTCGATAGATACACCATCTGGATTTTCGACTATCATTCCTGCCCCTGAGCCTTTGGCGTTTGAAGAGCCGTCAACATATAGCTTCCACATCTCTGATGATGGCGTTACTTCGGATTGGTCCCTGGGCGGGACGGCTTGCGTCATTTCGGTGATGAAGTCTGTAAGGGCTTGAGCCTTGATGGCGGTTCTTGGCTCGTATGTGATTTGGTACTCTGATAGCTCAATCGCCCAGGACATCATCCTTCCAGCTATGTCAGGCTTATGCAGGACTTTACGAATTGGTTGGTTGGTCCTGACCGTGATTGGATGGCATTGGAAATAGGGTCTCAACCGCCGTGCTGCAAAGATGAGCGTCAAGGCGACATTTTCTACCTGCTGATACCGGAGCTCCGCGCCTTGGAGAACCTTACTAATAAAATAGATAGGTTTTTGTCCTCCTTCTTTGGATTCTTGGACTAGGGCTGCGCCGACAGCTTCGGTTCCTACCGCAAGGTACAGATAAACCGTTTCCCCACTGTCTGGCTTGGTTAATACTGGCGGGCATGAGAGGGCCCTCTTGAACTCCTGGAAGGCTTTTTCGCATTCTTCCGACCATCGAAAAGCGTTCCCTTTTTGAGGAGACTGAAAAGTGGAAGAGATTTATGCGCGGAATTCGCCAAAAAAACGGGTGAGGGATACTAACCTTCCTGTCAGCTGTTGGACTTCTTTAACTGTTTGCAGGCTTCACATTTCTATGATCGCCTTGCACTTGTCAGGGTTGACCTCGATACCTCTCTCTGTGAGCATGAATCCAAGGAATTTACCTGCAAGAACGCCGAAGGCGCACTTGCTGGGGTTGAGGCGCATATTGAATTTCCTCAATCTGTCGAACACGCCTTGGAGGTCTGTCAAGTGCTGGCATGGCGTTCTAGATTTGGCGATCATGTCATCGATATAAACTTCGATGCAATTGCTGATCAAGTCTCTGAATACTTCATTCATCATTCGTTGATAAGTGGCGCCTGCATTCTTTAAACCGAAGGGCATCATGGTGTAGCAGTAGTTGGCGTTCTGGGTGATGAACGCTGTCTTACACTGATCCTTTTCCAGCAAAGGTATTTGGTTGTAACCAGAGTATGCATCCATGAACGACAGTATTTTGAAACCGGACGCGTTGTCAACCAGCTGATCTATGCTGGGAAAAGGGTAGGCGTCTTTAGGGCATACCTTGTTTAGGTCAGTATAATCAACGCACATTCTCCACGCCCCGTTTGGCTTCTTAACCAGGACGAGGTTGGATAGCCACGTGGTGTACTTGATTTCTCGGATGAACCCTGCGTCGTGGAGTCTTTTCACTTCTTCATTAATGATCTTTTGGCTCTCGACGCCAAACTTTCTCTTTTTCTGGGAAATGGGCTTCGCTTTGGGGTCAATAGACAAACGATGGAAACATACTTCGGGATCGATGCCTGGCATGTCAGATGGTTTCCATGCAAATAGGTCTCTGTTGTCTCTCAGCAGCTTGATCAACCTGTCTTTTGTTTCGGGATCCAAGGTCGCCCCGATGGTTGTTGTCTGATGATTATTGTCGCCCAGCACGACGTGCTCTAATGCACCGTCTGGCGTGGGCCTAGCATGCTCTACTCGTGGATCATCTCTTGCATAAAATTCTACCAAGAAACACTGATCGTGAGCTCCCCCTTTCTTGGCAGGTCCTTCATTGGTGGGCAGGTCCCCCACTTGTTAAGATCCTGGCTGATCTTTGAAAGTAACCTTAGTCATTGGTCGCAAGGATATATTATAGGAACTTCTGGCTACTATCTGGTCGCCTTTCACCGTTGCGACCTTATTGTCTCTGGCGACGAACTTCATCACCAAGTGTGGATGGGAGATGCTCGCCTCAAAGGCGGCGAACATTCTTCTGCCGAGAATGGCATTATACGCAGAAGGAGTGTCCAACACTAAGAACTGGATATCTGCTGACTTCGATGTAGGTGGCGTTCCGAGGGAGAGACGTAGACTGATCACGCCCAACGGCTTGGTTGTGGTTGCGTTGAATCCTGAAAGTTCTCCTGCGACTGGGGTTAAGTCATCAACTGTAAACCCCAGCGCCCTGAAACATGGCAAAAACAAAATATCAGCGGAACTGCCGTGATCAACAAATACACGGTTAACTCCATAGTTAGCAATTATGGCTTGAATGACAAGAGGGTCATCATGTCCTGGGAGGACATCGCCTACATCGTTGTTATCCCAAACAATTTTGGGCCTGGTCGGACTTGAGTCTATTTTACTAATGACTTTTCCAGCAACCGCCACACATTGCTTCAAGTGCTTTTTTCTGGCGTTCGACGTCTCACCGCCACCGCTCAGTCCTCCGGAAATCATATTTATAACTCCGTGTTTGACGTTTGCAGGGTCTTCTCCCTCATCGTCTCGCCTTCCACTGTCGTTGGGGCTTGCTTGCGCTCTCCGGCTCCTTGGAGAGTCTTCTTTTCTGTCACGCTCATGTCGTGGTCGAAAGTTCACCTGCCTCGTTCGTCGTCTCTCTGGCGATTTACTGCGCTCCCTGTACCGCCTTCCGATTCCTGATGGGCGTGCACCATCGCCATCTCTTCTTTGAGCACCGCTCTTAATGAGCTCATCAATCTCATCTTTGAGGTGCATGCACTCCTCAGTACTGTGGTCGTTACTGCGGTGGAACTTGCAGTAGACCGCAACTTCTCTAGCTGGTTGCTGAGGGCGTTGATTTCCCCTGGAATCATCTTTATAATCCGTCTGTAGGACGCTGTGAGTTTGGGGCCCTGTTGTGTCACGCCTCGAAGGGCGGTTGGTATATCTAGCTGACTTGTGTCCCTTCTTACTATCTTCTGCTGGGCTCTTATTTTTGCTGGTTGCCTTCTCTTGGCTGTAGGCATCATCAGCTCGACTTCCCTTGTATTCTTCAACTCTCATATACTCCTGGGCCACTTTCCTAACTTCTTCTAATTCAGTAATTTCGTGGCGCGCTAGCTCGTAGGCAAACGGCCCCGCTCGTAAGCCTGAAAGGAGTATATGAACCTGCACTTTTGGGTCTAAGCCTTGCACCTGTAGGGCTTCTTTGTCAAAACGGTCTAGAAAGGATCGAAGAGACTCCCCAGATTGTTGGCGGATTTTCTCGAGTGAGTGAACGGACTTTGGCACGGAGCGGCTGGTTGCGAAGTGGGACTGGAACTTGATTGCTAATTCGTCCTAGGACGCGATGATTCCAGTCGGTAGGGTAGTGTACCATGTCAGCGCTCTCCCTCCCAGAAGCGTAGGGAAAGTTATGTACATAAGGAGGTTCGTTTCGCCATGCAGCGTCATTGCTGCTTCAAACTTTTGGACCCATTCAAAAGGGTCTGTCTCTCCAACATACGTGGCGATGTTGGAGGGGCCTTTAAAGCCTAGGGGTATGGGAGTCAACCGCAGGATGTCGGTCAAGGGCTTGTTGCGCCCTGACGTATGAGTAGGGGTTATTCTGACGTTGTGGTTGTGGCTTGGTGGTCTGGTTGTGGATGAGGTATATGTGGGGCCTCAACGGAGTAAGAGAGAGTTGGGGTGTGATTAGGGACCTGATGGGCGATATAAGATGGTTGTTCGGCATTCTGGCCAGATGCTAGGGGTTGTAGGGCGGCAATGTGGTGAGGTGGCATAGCGTAGCCATGGAAAGGGTAACCAGCGATGTAAGGTTGGGGGAAAGGAGCAGCGATATTGTGAGTGTAAGGTCCTTGTGGGTGTGGGGCACCCATGGGGGCTCGGTGAGCGAAAACATCGCTACCGGTTGACTGCGGGCTGGTTGTGGTCGATAGGCGGTTGGGTGAACTGGAGGGGCAGCAGCGTGGAATGGCATTCCAAAGTGAACTCCCGGCGGCGGGGGCTGATCAGGGACCACATTTTCTCCTTGCATTTCATGTATAGGTGCATGGTGACCTGGCTGAGCTATTCCGGCGCCAGCTGCTGGCAACTGTGGCTCGGCAGATAGTAGTACTGGTGGGACAGCCTCTGCAGCGTGTCGCGCAACTGGGGCTGAACGCATGGATGGCGGGGAGTTGGAATGTACAGTTTGTACGTGACCATCAGGGGTGACAGCCCTGGCTTGTTCCGCTCTTCTAGTCGTGACGACCATGTTAGTTATTCAGATCGAAAGGACGTCTTGTGATCTTAGGTAGGAGGATGGGAATAGAAGTTTATAGTTTCCCACAGACGGCGCCAATGTACCGTTGGAATCTATAAGCCCATTATGTTCCCTTTAGGGATGAGTCAATGTATGTATGATACCCTTAGCACAGGTACAGACCAAGCTAAGGGGTATAGTGTCAAGTACAAGCAAGTAATCAACGGATAAGCTAGGGTGACAAAATGACTCTAAGGAAATGGACAGTATAACGATACATAAGATGCTCTAGGGGGTGCCCTTGGGAGCTATTTATAAGGGAATATTGTGCTTACCGGGTGAAGGTTGGTGGGGAGAAGGTCAACTCTCCTTGGGACCATATGCGGATGGCAGTGTTGGGCGTGACAGGCGCTGCCATCGTAGCAGCGCTGTGCCTTCTGCGTCTGGCGGTGTCAACATAGGTCCCAGGGGGACAATTTCCTCTTAAGGCATTTGGGCGACCGCTTTCGGGAGTTGAGGTCCCTAGGTGGGATACTTTGGTGTTTAGCCTTGGGAAGTTACCACATTGGGGAGTACGCGTCGCCCCAGCTGGTAGGGCTGACGTGGATGCTTGGTAGGTGCTGGGCCTTGACTATTGGGCCTGACTCTTGTTGGGCCATGCGGAACACATTCTATAATAAAAGACTAAGATCATGCATCTGTGATTTGGTGAAGACCACCCACTAAAGGGCGGACCTACATGGGGGGCATGCATGGGCGGCCGCCCCCCTCTAAAATCTGGAAAAAAAAATGTCTACATTCTCAAAAAAATACATAGTATATTTCATTTTTCATAACTGGTGGGTTACTTTAACAAAACTAGCATTGTGTTCCCTTTGGATCTGAAATGAGTTGCATTGGTTTCATCTTGTTGATGATCGGTATAGTATTTTTATTCAAAGCTTTTGATTTTACTTTCTGCGTCTCCTTCTTTTGCTTCATTTGATACCCAAAATCTGTTAGCATGAGAAAGAAGCTTGCTATCCATTTTTCTGTTGTGAGTGTTTTCACTTTCTCTTTGTAAAATTTTGATCTTTTTGTAGTTTCATGCTGTTCGAATGCTCAAAAACCAACAAAAAGTGAAAGAAAAAAAATGGGTATAAAATAATTATAGTTTGCAATAATTTTTGGAATTTATTTGTTTAGCTTTATGGTGATTGATAATTGAAGTAGATGGGTCTGTAGTGATGTGGGCATTATGGAACTTTATGATGTTAGTTTTAGGTGCTTGCCTAATTTGGGTTCTATGAGTTTCCCCCTCCTTTTGGATTTATTTTAGTTATATGATTATATTTGTTATAAAAATTATTTAATGGGTGCATCTCTTGAGACCGTTGTACATGTTTTTTGGTTTAATATTATGATTCTCCTACTTTTTATTGTTGACAGGGCATATGTCAATGAAATAATCTATGTTAAATTCATCAAATTAGTATATTTGTTAAATTATATTTTATTTAAAATTCTACAAATTAGATTTGTTAAAATTTTCTACCCACTTCATATAATTTTCTCGGTACGCCGCTCAGTGAAGCCCACCACCGGTCTTCTTATTTATTATCACTTCATTTTGGTTTTCGTATTAGTAGCCAATTTGGTTTTCATCTTTGACCATGTCTTGACGTATTAGAAGCCAATATGGTTTCCTTCTTTGACCAGGTATTAATAAGGCTTCAATATGATTTTTATACATATGAGAGCCTTCAACCCTCTAACAAAAAATATTAAACATTTTGAAAAAATTCATGTTGCAAGAAAAAAAATCACAAAATGCCTTGTATTTTTTTTTTCCAAATCTCAAAAAAAATAAAATATATATCATTCTGGATTGCACTAGATAAATTTATCTTCTCCGAAAAATATTTTTCTCATTTCTTAAATATTAAGTATATAATCTTTCAAATAACTTTGTAACTTTTTTTTTTTTTTTTTTGATAACAACTTTGTAACTTTTTTAATAAGTCTATTCTTTATCTTTTCGTATTCTTTTAATTCATTTCTAGATCTCAATTACCTTTATTTCTCAAAATGTTACGTACTTACGAAAAATTACAAGACCATTTTAAAAGTTATCAAGATTATATTAAACTATATAAAATAAAACATTATATTTTCCATATCGAAGTGAATATTTTCTCATTTCTTTTCATGTTTCATTGTTTACTTTTTGCAGCAGTAGATTTTTTTTTTTTTTTTTTGGGTAACAACATCAGTGGATATTTATATCCCAAGTTTTGGTACCCAAAAAAACATTTAGAGGAGACGTTAAAATTAATTTAAAATATTTTTTCACATAATGCTTCCTTTAGTTATATAATTTTAATAATTTAATTTTAAAGCACTGTCAGCATAATTAAACTCAGATGTAATAATATTTTGTCACACCATTTAATAAGTTTGATGTGATGAACCAATTTCAAGTCATAACTGCCGCATAGAATATCATCAAATAACCTAGCAAATCTAACTATCACAGTGATATATCTAACAATAATAACTTGGATCACAATATATATATAAGAGTAAATACCATTTTTAGTCCTTAGCAAATTTTACAATGCCTACTTTAGTTCCTAGCAAATAAAAAGGCTATTCGTGGTTCCTAATAAATTCAAAGTGGACCAATTTTAGTCCTTTTGATGGACTAATATGGTCTTTTTTGAATTTCTTAGGGACCACAATTTCAACTAAATAGGTTCATTTTGAATTTCTTAGGGACCACGAATAGCCTTTTTATTTGCTAGGGACTAAAGCGGACATCGTGAAATTTATTGAGGACCAAAAATGATATTTACTCTATATATAATGTTTATCAAGTTACAACACAACATGCTTGTAGAAAAAATGGAGCAACTTTAGAACATAATAAATATTCAAGTACATAATAGCAATTTATTATTTAAACTTTTGCCCACACGAACAAAGTATCAAGTTCACCACTAGGAAACTAACTATATGACTTGTTCAATCAAATCAAATGGGAGGACTCAGAGGCTATCTCCTTGCATTTATTTGAAAATATATAACCACAATTTGAGTGAGTTGCAATGCAACCAGTGAGCAAATAACAAAAACTATAACAAGCGAGACTTGACAACATACAAAAAATAATTAATCAAAAGTGTAAAGATAAAAGTTAAAATTTCAAATCGAAATTAATTTATATGAACAAATCATATATTCAAGTAGGGGTATACTCAAATAGAACGATAATATATCAATCGTGGGCTTTTCGCCAGTAAATATAATGTGATTACAATATCAAACTTTTCTTCTACAATAAATCAATAATAGAAAAATAGATCATTTTTCACCTTCCTGGAAAGGGTTACACACAAGTAATCCATTTTCTCTATTTCTTTATCTCTGTTTGAATCATATGTTTGCATCAGCAGGGGCAGAATTTTTTCAATTCCAATCGACTGGGCGTATTGTGTCGATTCTTTTGAGTAATGTATCTTGAAATACCCTTTGATTCCTTATTCACATTCTTTTTATCACAACCGCTACATTCCAAAATAACATGTGCCTTTACACAAGCCATGGTACACAAGGCTAACATCTACTACTGTTAGTGTTGAGCCTCTAAAAGGAGACTCTAGGCATGATTGGGATTTGGGCCAACTTATTTGAACATAAATTGCGATGACTATGGCCTAAGATTGCCTATCCCCAAACACACTTTGAAAAGAAATTGTTAATGGCCTTTAGGGCATGTTTAGTATATAGTATAGGACAAGGCTTATTGACCAATTCTCAATTCAAAAGGCTGCAACTATTTTTTAGGGTGAAAGCAAGGAAAAATATAAGGAGGCAGGGAAAAGCTCGGAATGGGAAAGAAGAAAAATAGAAAAAAGAAAAGATGGAGAAGCCCTCTTTATTATCCATCCTTGTCCAATCTCATTGGTCTTCAACAAAGAGAACCAAAACCCTAGCACTTCTTATTCCCGTACCGCATCCTACAAAAATCCCAAAAATTTTCCACACTAACAGCTTCACCAGCCTACCACTTTGCCTAATCGATCCAAAAGGAAGCCCCAACTTCGAATCATTACAATCTAAAAAAGCAAAGAAAGATGAGAGGGGATCGTGTGACAAAGGAAATTTTGTTCGCGTATATATGCGGTGATCCAAGGAAGATAGCAAAACAAGGAATGATTATGCAATTTTTGGAGATCTTGTGGGCGTGTGAGCTGATCTGGTGGTCCAAAAAAGGGAATGCAATAATTGTGGGAAGGGGCGTCATTCAGTCATTGAAATGTGCAAGGAAGACCGAGAGCAAGCAATGCATCCAATAAAAGAGGAGGGTAATAAAAAAGGGAATGAGAGGGTAAAGGCTCAAGACTTTTCTTTTCCAAGATTTTGTGAGTTGTTCTCTATTTTCTTTTTTTTGTTCATGGACACAAATTTAGTTTTACCTTTTGATGTTGTAATAGAGCGCATCATGTGGTGTAACTTTTGGGTTACTCTTTAATTGTGTTGAATAGTTTTTTTTTTTTTTTAGAGTTACCCAACCCTAATTATCTCTTTGAGACGAGTTGGCTCCCTCCGGTATCCCCACGAGCTTCGACTCTTTGAGCCGGCTATGGGACTAATCCGGAGTGCGGGGAACAGTGATGGCTAAAGGTTCAGCCCCCTCCCCAAGAATGCATTCAGCGGAAATCGAACACATATCCAACCCCACTAACTCCTTGTTGTTTAGTTTTGTTACTATTTTTTTATAGAAAAAGATTATACTTATAACTTATTTTTCGTTTACAATTTCTTATAATCATATTTTAATCGTTTATTATTTTTGTAAATCAAACTCATTAATTAATTATTAATTTATAATAAATGATTAACATTGATTTTTAACGGTTAAGTTATGATTGTAAGCGATTGTAAACGAACGAAAACATGTTGTAAGTATAATCTTCCTCATTTTTATATGTTGATAACCCTATAGCTAGGTACTTCGTAGGAGTGGGGAA